TACTAAAAAATTATATAACAACTACAACAGTTGTATATCTCTCTTGTAAAGCTTCGCCTTATCGTTTGATTTTCTTTTCGACTAACTCCAGATAGATTCGTTTAGCCTGTCCTAATCCATATCTCAAGCCAGGTGCTGCCGCCATCCGAAGACCCGTATCTCAAGCCACCTGCTGCCGTCACTAGGAGTTTGTTGCCTGGGGCCCAATTTTAAATAGTAGCACTGTATCCGTCGAGCTAGTATATAATATTAAATAATTTTACTTTATGATTTTAAATTATATTAATATATATATTTATCAAAAAAAGCTAACTTTATCACTAGCTAAGTCTATTTAATTTTCTAATTCTGAACTTTACTCATAAATAATTTTTAAACTCATTTGTTTTAAATTAGTAAATTCTAAAATTTTCAATATTTAAAAGAAAATTATTAATTATAAACAAAAATTTGAAATTTATAAAAGAAAAATTTTATTTTTATAATATTGTTTATAGCAATTTTTGAGATTCTTATTAGTTGCTATTTATATTATACAAATAATATCAATCACAAGATTTTGTATAAATACATATACTATACTGAGCATAGCAGAAACTCGTATCTAATAGATTCTGAAATAATTATTACACAAATTATTTATATATACAATTGAAAATTTGATATATGATTATAGTCTAAAAACTGGCAATTTCACTATCTATTTAATCATAATAAGTTAAACTCAAGGTGTCCTTATTAATAAGTAAAATTTCTTCATTTTGAGTGTTTTTAGCAAAAAATCTTTCTAATCGTTTTTAATCACTTCCTCTAGGAAGTTTTCATAAGAACAAAGATAGGCCGTTTGGTTATTGGCAGTGTTTATTGAGTTTCTACTACATTAAAATTATAAAGCCAAAACAATAGATTTATAAATTGTTAAACCATGAGCATTATACTAACATAAAACTTTATATATTTATTAAACAGGCTAAGCAATATAAACGTTTTAATGATTTATTTTACCCAAACTAAGACATATATATATATTATATATCAGACAAAAAAGAAAACTATCTTGTAATATAATAAATACATTAGAGCAATTTAATTACAATAATATAGATTATAATGTAATAACATGTTAGATATAATATGCATGTTTTTAGTAAAATCTAATGGTTGAAAAATAGAATAAAATTACTTTAGTATTAAAAATTCTTTGCTTTTATTAATAATAACTGATAAATAAATATATCTTTGCATATTTCACGTATCGAAAGAGTTTTATTGATTTGATTGGTCAACAATCACGTTTGGATCTACATCAATTAGCCAATTACCCGAATTTTATAACTCATAAAAATACGAGTTTCTGCTATGCTCTTTGGGCGAAGATAACTTGACAACCACATATCAAAATTCAATAAACTTTTTTTTATTTTGAATCTACAGAATTCGTAGAATAAAAAGAAAAAAAAATATCGAGTTTGGTTAGGTGGGTAATGAGTTATCTTTATTCAAAGTCTTGGAAAATTTAAACGCCTATTAAAATAAAATTTTTTTGTAAAACTTTAAACGAAAATAACTTGGCAAACACCTAATCAAATTCTATATTTTTTTCTACATTTCTGTAGAATCAAATAAAAAAAAAAATTCATCATGTAAAACTTTGAGTGAAGATATCTCGGTAACCACCCAATTAAATTCGAAAAATTTTTTTTCTCGATTCTACAGAATTGTAGAATAAAAATAAAAAAATTCGTCTAATTTGACCAAATGGTTGCCAGGTTATTTTCGCAAAACGACTATCAAATAATAGCTGTGGCGAAGTTTTTGTGAAAATTTGAGCGAAGATAACTCGGTAACCACCTAACTAAATTCGATGAAATTTTTTGATTTTGATTCTACAGAATTGTGATAAAAATTAAAAAAATATACATTGAATTTGATTACATACTTGCCGAGTTATTTTTTTTCAAAGTTTTGTATCTTATTTTGATAGGCGTTTTAAATTTTCCAAGACTTTAAATAAAGATAACTCATTATCCACCTAACCAAATTCGATGTTTTTTTTTTTTTTTATTCTACAATTCTGTAGATTCAAAATAAAAAAAAGTTTATTGAATTTTGATATGTGGTTGTCGAGTTATCTTCGCTCAAAGTTGTAAAAATTTATAAGCCTAAAATTTGGGGTGCTCATGTCGATCATTGCTGTGTCGATAAGGCGATAAGTCACGTGTTGCTGTGTCGGTAGCTTTTCCCATGTTTTTGTGGAAATTTTTTTATAAATTTCATAATTCGGGTCACGTCATGTGATTGCCCAAAATTTCGCCATTCAAAATTCTCGAAATTTTGAATTTTATAAACACAACCAATCAGATTAATAGAAATTAATAGAAAACGTAATCTAAACCGCTAAATTTTCTAAAATTTTGGTTTTTTTATGGATAATCCTCAAAATTATAGATTTTTCCCAAAAATTATGGAAAATTATGGATCCATAATTTTCAACGTCCCTGATCCGGATATATAAATCCGGATAGAGGTATTAACTCTAATCAGAAGGATTATGTGCGAAACACAATATAAATATAAATATAAGATTTTATTTCTGACGAATACATTATATGATATATTATATGATATATATCGTTATAATAACTATTTCATATTATAATTGTGATAAGAATTTAATTATTTCTCCCAACGAAAATTTATTATCAAATTATCATAAAATCGGACTCCTTCGACACTCTCATCTCTACAGATAAGACCCTTTTCTTCAACCATCTGTAAACAATATATATATTTATAATGAAGCTGTTTTTTTAAAACAAAGATAAATAAATAATAACGAGTAGGTTTCAACAAACCTGCAATTGTTCATTTATCAAGACAACGCTCATTTTGTCCAGTGAAGCCAACTCAATAGCGGTCAACGGTCCCTTAGTTTTTATATGTTGCAAAATACGTTGAGCGATTTGTTCATCGCTATGAGTCAGTAAACATATGTAGTTTGATAATACGTGCATATAAACTAAGTTAAAAAAATAAAAAATAAAAGTTGGTTCATATTAAAGGATATCTGACTCAACGACCATCAAGCCACTAGAAAATTTTCTTAATCGCATTGGTAAATTTAAATGTTCAAATTGAGAACATGCTTTATATAAATCTTCAGGAGATATCAACGCTATGAGAAAACAAAATATGGCATTTAACATATGAAGAAAATTAATTAGGTTGGAAAGGAAAAAAAAAACTTACCAACCCCCCGCGCTCGGTTAAAAAGACAATAAATATCTGTCAATGACATCATGCCATTTTCCTTTTCCAGCAAGTTATCCAGGAACTCGGCAAGTTGACGTGCTAGTTCTTTGTGGTATGTAGATCCAGCAGAATCTCTGTAACAATAAAAAGAACATATTAACATGATTTATCAACCAATTCCAAAATAGGTGCATTATCGAAACTACGGTAACTAGTTACAACTTAATTATAATGATTTCGATCACACATCTAGAACAAGATTTCATAAACCTACTTTGTTACAGGATTTGGTATTCCTAATTCGATTAAATATGTTCTAAAATCGGATGTTTCGTCTGTTGAAGTTTCTGAATCTAGTTCCTTGCTCAATTTATTCCTGATAGATTCTGCAAGTTTAACCTATATATATTAGAAAATTTGGCCTAATTAATAGAATGAAGTCATTATTTAAACCAAAATAATAATAAATGATATTAACCATTTCAGAAGTTTTCGCCATTAGGCCATCCAAATCTTTAAAAGCCTGATTCAACGTTTCCTTCTGTTCCTTTTGACTTTGTTCTGCGTTACGAATTATACCCACTATGCATTTTCGAAAATTAGAATGAATCAAAAAGGTTAAATATTATCTGTCAACAGCTGCTGATGCTTAAATTTGAACCTATTTTTAATAAAAAAATTACATATATAATTTTTGGGAGCGAATTTTCAGACTTTTTTTTTTAAAGTTAATACAAAAAAGTATAAGTGGACTTAAGTTCAAAGAGACACAAATTTCAGCATCAGCCATAATAATTGTCAGATATATGAGTGCTGCCAAGAGAAAACCGAACGCCCTTTTCCCTTGGCAGCATTCATATTAATAAATAAAAGCTATAACATACCAAGCCCTCCAAGTCCTGGATCAAAATCTGACGTCACTTTTATACTTGACGTTTCTTGTGCTTTCTAAATTCAAAATATTACTTAGTATCGTAATAAAATGAAATTCCTATTATACTATGAAACCATAAAAATCGTACCTCCCATTCCTTTGCTGCCATCGCCGATTTCAATTTTTCATAAAAAGCATTTGAACCACCATCTCGAAATGCCAATCTCACAAAATCATTGTCCTTGGCAGATTTAAAATTTTTTGAAGCTTCGAGATCATTTTCAAAGTCCAAATTACTAACATCAAATGTTCTCAAATCGGCTTCACACATCTCGCACTTGATCATACTCGGATGATTCAAAAATGTGCAAACCTTACAAGCAATTCCAATATCATCAGTTGGGATATTGGGAGATGGTGAGCGTTGTAGTTGATCAACAGAATCCTCAAAATCAGATCTAACATTTAAAGTTGATGAGGCAGATGAGGCAATACGTTTAACACCACATAATCGGCATTTAATGTCTTGAAGATCTCTATTTATGAATGAACAAATAGGACATATCCATGATGATGATGTTGGTGGTAAGGTGTTTTGTAAATTAGTGACAGAAGAAAATGGAGAGCTATGATATAGCTGGTTATCAGAATGAGAATAGGGAGAGGTCGTATCCGAGAATCGTAAAGTAATCTTTGGTGAAGACCTGACAAAGCCTATCTATCTATTCCAGATCAAATAATTGAAAAATAAATACGAGCTCATCTAATAATAACTTTAATATAAAAGTTAACGTTTCACCGCTTGCCAAATCCTTACATAAAAATCCCTTCCTTTGATAAATTTTATTTCAACTGCGATCGAATTGGTGACCGGGTTTTGGGAATCCACATAAATAATTCTGTGTGAAGTTAGGTACGCTGTTCCATTCATATAATCAGCTGCCTTTTCGTTGCTATCGAAATAAAATTTTAGTGAATAGTTGAAAAAAAAAAAAAAAAAAACTAGTATACGCACCCATCATAAAGTCCTACATTATCTTGTGTCGCTAAAACAGTTTCATTATACAGTAATACGGGACGAAATGTCGAATTTAATTCTGCTCTCGTAAATCGGTTCATAATAGACAACTTAAAATTTTAACAAATTAGGATATTTATACCGATTCTGTATAGGTAGCAAAACCTGGTCACCCGATACAAATCACGAGTCATGTCGGAAAGCCTCGAAAAGAAAGTGTACAGTCGTCGAAAGTTTTCGGTACATTAAAGTATTTAATATTGGTCAACCGCTTAACTTTATTTTTAATGGTTAGCAAACATCAAAATTCATAGTATACACACGGAGCAAAAATTTATAACCACATAACTTCTGGAATATTATTTCCAATAATTTAAATGTTTATTAGATTTTAAATTAAAAACATCAATCTATCTCTGCGTTAGTTTTAAAAGGTACTTTTAAAGGATCAATGACAACACCCATTTTCGTGACAACTCTAGGTGTTATCATTTTTTGAAATACTTCATTAGTATTCCATTCTTTGCCTATCGGAGTACGCAAACTACGTTCATATTGTTCTCTGGTCTCGAATGGATGTGGAATATCAGTAGAAAGATATTTCTTTGCCTAAATTTAATATTAATATTTTAAAAATGAATAAAAATTTCGAATTTCCGAAATTTCCGAAATTGCAATAATAATGATCTTTATCGAAATAAATACCTTTTTAATTCTTTTTTCATTAATTATTACATGTTTTAATTTTGCATCTTGGCGTTTTTTAGCATCAATACCTTCACCTGGTAACGGTTTGGCTATTATTTTTTTCTTGTTTTTCAGTGGTTTAACTCCTTTACCACCCCATGTTCCCTAAAAATGATTTTCATTTAAAAAATGGATTAAAATATATATATATATAAATCAACGTTAAAACTTACCCAACCGGGTAGTGTTATGTCTTTCTCTTTAGGCATATCTTCATCAATGATGGCTTGTTTTTCTGACTCAAATTCCTATTCAAAATAATAAAATAAATAAATAATAATTTTTTTTTAAAATATATATATATATATATATATATTATATGAAAATGCATTAGCTTACTTCGACTACATTATCATTAGCAAAAGCACGAGCCACTAATTCTCTTTGCGTAAACGCAGTGGGATTCTTTACGTTTACGAAATTTTTTATTGCCTCAGCGTTATCATCATTATCGTTATCAGATTCAACATTAACGTTTTCGATGGCTGATTTATCAGTTGCTGCTGTCTTTACTTCTTTTTTCGTATTATCTTAAAAAAAATAAAATTTAGAAATTATTCTGTAAATTAAAAAAATATATAACTATAATTACCGGCAACTTGAACGGTTATAATTTTATTCATGTCTATTTCAACATCCTCTTTCATTTGCATCTCACGTTTCTGTTTATTGAGTTTTGAGGCTAATTTGTTAAGCTTATTGCTATTTTTGATATTAATACTTTTATTAACTTTTTTACTAGAAGTCGCTAGCTTAGAGGTGTCATGTTGAAGCCAAGGATTTATTTCCTCAGAATCATTTTGTGATTCATCTTGCTGATTTGTTGAATCATTATTATACCCTGGCTCCGAAAGCAATGACGCTTCAGAATCTTTTTTTTGATCAAAAGTCGACTTTGGCAACTAAAAAATAAATTATATTTTAGTTGCAAATTATATTTTAGTCGATCATATAACAGATTGTTAAATACCGTCGTGATATCTGGTCCTTGATTAAAAGACACTCTAGCATTAGATGAATCATCGGAACGCGCTCCCTTTTCCTATTGAATTAATATACAAGGTATGTGGTAGATATTTGTTTGTTTTTTTAATTGCTTTATTAACGTAACTGTTTTTTACAAAGTCTTATTGTAACAGTTTATAAAATGTATTTATTTACCTTAGTTCCAACACCAAATATCATTCTTCCAAGATTATTATCCACATTCTTCACTGAATCCTTTGCTGCATCATTATTTTTTTTGGTCTGTTTATTTTTATCATCATTATCATCATCATCATCGCTAAAGTCATTATTTTCCAAATCTTCTATAAAGTCGTCTATTAACTGCTGTGTCGCTTTTTTCTCTCGTTTCATAGCATCTTGCATGAATTTCATGTCCATAATACCCTTCACAGGTTCTTCATCAGCTGAATCTTTAAGCTGGTATTGCGCCAACTCGTCAAATGCTTTTTCTTTTATGACACTTTCATCCTCTTCATTATTAGATTCACTTGAAACATCATCCAATTCTTCATCAGAACCAAGGTCATGAATTTTACGTTTCAAATCTTCATGCCGCTGTAATTGTTCAATAATTGCTTGACGACTTTCTGAATCATGTCGACCATGTTTAAGCGCTCGGTTAAAAAGACAATAAATATCTGTCAATGACATCATGCCATTTTCCTTTTCCAGCAAGTTATCCAGGAACTCGGCAAGTTGACGTGCTAGTTCTTTGTGGTATGTAGATCCAGCAGAATCTCTGTAACAATAAAAAGAACATATTAACATGATTTATCAACCAATTCCAAAATAGGTGCATTATCGAAACTACGGTAACTAGTTACAACTTAATTATAATGATTTCGATCACACATCTAGAACAAGATTTCATAAACCTACTTTGTTACAGGATTTGGTATTCCTAATTCGATTAAATATGTTCTAAAATCGGATGTTTCGTCTGTTGAAGTTTCTGAATCTAGTTCCTTGCTCAATTTATTCCTGATAGATTCTGCAAGTTTAACCTATATATATTAGAAAATTTGGCCTAATTAATAGAATGAAGTCATTATTTAAACCAAAATAATAATAAATGATATTAACCATTTCAGAAGTTTTCGCCATTAGGCCATCCAAATCTTTAAAAGCCTGATTCAACGTTTCCTTCTGTTCCTTTTGACTTTGTTCTGCGTTACGAATTATACCCACTATGCATTTTCGAAAATTAGAATGAATCAAAAAGGTTAAATATTATCTGTCAACAGCTGCTGATGCTTAAATTTGAACCTATTTTTAATAAAAAAATTACATATATAATTTTTGGGAGCGAATTTTCAGACTTTTTTTTTTAAAGTTAATACAAAAAAGTATAAGTGGACTTAAGTTCAAAGAGACACAAATTTCAGCATCAGCCATAATAATTGTCAGATATATGAGTGCTGCCAAGAGAAAACCGAACGCCCTTTTCCCTTGGCAGCATTCATATTAATAAATAAAAGCTATAACATACCAAGCCCTCCAAGTCCTGGATCAAAATCTGACGTCACTTTTATACTTGACGTTTCTTGTGCTTTCTAAATTCAAAATATTACTTAGTATCGTAATAAAATGAAATTCCTATTATACTATGAAACCATAAAAATCGTACCTCCCATTCCTTTGCTGCCATCGCCGATTTCAATTTTTCATAAAAAGCATTTGAACCACCATCTCGAAATGCCAATCTCACAAAATCATTGTCCTTGGCAGATTTAAAATTTTTTGAAGCTTCGAGATCATTTTCAAAGTCCAAATTACTAACATCAAATGTTCTCAAATCGGCTTCACACATCTCGCACTTGATCATACTCGGATGATTCAAAAATGTGCAAACCTTACAAGCAATTCCAATATCATCAGTTGGGATATTGGGAGATGGTGAGCGTTGTAGTTGATCAACAGAATCCTCAAAATCAGATCTAACATTTAAAGTTGATGAGGCAGATGAGGCAATACGTTTAACACCACATAATCGGCATTTAATGTCTTGAAGATCTCTATTTATGAATGAACAAATAGGACATATCCATGATGATGATGTTGGTGGTAAGGTGTTTTGTAAATTAGTGACAGAAGAAAATGGAGAGCTATGATATAGCTGGTTATCAGAATGAGAATAGGGAGAGGTCGTATCCGAGAATCGTAAAGTAATCTTTGGTGAAGACCTGACAAAGCCTATCTATCTATTCCAGATCAAATAATTGAAAAATAAATACGAGCTCATCTAATAATAACTTTAATATAAAAGTTAACGTTTCACCGCTTGCCAAATCCTTACATAAAAATCCCTTCCTTTGATAAATTTTATTTCAACTGCGATCGAATTGGTGACCGGGTTTTGGGAATCCACATAAATAATTCTGTGTGAAGTTAGGTACGCTGTTCCATTCATATAATCAGCTGCCTTTTCGTTGCTATCGAAATAAAATTTTAGTGAATAGTTGAAAAAAAAAAAAAAAAAAACTAGTATACGCACCCATCATAAAGTCCTACATTATCTTGTGTCGCTAAAACAGTTTCATTATACAGTAATACGGGACGAAATGTCGAATTTAATTCTGCTCTCGTAAATCGGTTCATAATAGACAACTTAAAATTTTAACAAATTAGGATATTTATACCGATTCTGTATAGGTAGCAAAACCTGGTCACCCGATACAAATCACGAGTCATGTCGGAAAGCCTCGAAAAGAAAGTGTACAGTCGTCGAAAGTTTTCGGTACATTAAAGTATTTAATATTGGTCAACCGCTTAACTTTATTTTTAATGGTTAGCAAACATCAAAATTCATAGTATACACACGGAGCAAAAATTTATAACCACATAACTTCTGGAATATTATTTCCAATAATTTAAATGTTTATTAGATTTTAAATTAAAAACATCAATCTATCTCTGCGTTAGTTTTAAAAGGTACTTTTAAAGGATCAATGACAACACCCATTTTCGTGACAACTCTAGGTGTTATCATTTTTTGAAATACTTCATTAGTATTCCATTCTTTGCCTATCGGAGTACGCAAACTACGTTCATATTGTTCTCTGGTCTCGAATGGATGTGGAATATCAGTAGAAAGATATTTCTTTGCCTAAATTTAATATTAATATTTTAAAAATGAATAAAAATTTCGAATTTCCGAAATTTCCGAAATTGCAATAATAATGATCTTTATCGAAATAAATACCTTTTTAATTCTTTTTTCATTAATTATTACATGTTTTAATTTTGCATCTTGGCGTTTTTTAGCATCAATACCTTCACCTGGTAACGGTTTGGCTATTATTTTTTTCTTGTTTTTCAGTGGTTTAACTCCTTTACCACCCCATGTTCCCTAAAAATGATTTTCATTTAAAAAATGGATTAAAATATATATATATATAAATCAACGTTAAAACTTACCCAACCGGGTAGTGTTATGTCTTTCTCTTTAGGCATATCTTCATCAATGATGGCTTGTTTTTCTGACTCAAATTCCTATTCAAAATAATAAAATAAATAAATAATAATTTTTTTTTAAAATATATATATATATATATATATATTATATGAAAATGCATTAGCTTACTTCGACTACATTATCATTAGCAAAAGCACGAGCCACTAATTCTCTTTGCGTAAACGCAGTGGGATTCTTTACGTTTACGAAATTTTTTATTGCCTCAGCGTTATCATCATTATCGTTATCAGATTCAACATTAACGTTTTCGATGGCTGATTTATCAGTTGCTGCTGTCTTTACTTCTTTTTTCGTATTATCTTAAAAAAAATAAAATTTAGAAATTATTCTGTAAATTAAAAAAATATATAACTATAATTACCGGCAACTTGAACGGTTATAATTTTATTCATGTCTATTTCAACATCCTCTTTCATTTGCATCTCACGTTTCTGTTTATTGAGTTTTGAGGCTAATTTGTTAAGCTTATTGCTATTTTTGATATTAATACTTTTATTAACTTTTTTACTAGAAGTCGCTAGCTTAGAGGTGTCATGTTGAAGCCAAGGATTTATTTCCTCAGAATCATTTTGTGATTCATCTTGCTGATTTGTTGAATCATTATTATACCCTGGCTCCGAAAGCAATGACGCTTCAGAATCTTTTTTTTGATCAAAAGTCGACTTTGGCAACTAAAAAATAAATTATATTTTAGTTGCAAATTATATTTTAGTCGATCATATAACAGATTGTTAAATACCGTCGTGATATCTGGTCCTTGATTAAAAGACACTCTAGCATTAGATGAATCATCGGAACGCGCTCCCTTTTCCTATTGAATTAATATACAAGGTATGTGGTAGATATTTGTTTGTTTTTTTAATTGCTTTATTAACGTAACTGTTTTTTACAAAGTCTTATTGTAACAGTTTATAAAATGTATTTATTTACCTTAGTTCCAACACCAAATATCATTCTTCCAAGATTATTATCCACATTCTTCACTGAATCCTTTGCTGCATCATTATTTTTTTTGGTCTGTTTATTTTTATCATCATTATCATCATCATCATCGCTAAAGTCATTATTTTCCAAATCTTCTATAAAGTCGTCTATTAACTGCTGTGTCGCTTTTTTCTCTCGTTTCATAGCATCTTGCATGAATTTCATGTCCATAATACCCTTCACAGGTTCTTCATCAGCTGAATCTTTAAGCTGGTATTGCGCCAACTCGTCAAATGCTTTTTCTTTTATGACACTTTCATCCTCTTCATTATTAGATTCACTTGAAACATCATCCAATTCTTCATCAGAACCAAGGTCATGAATTTTACGTTTCAAATCTTCATGCCGCTGTAATTGTTCAATAATTGCTTGACGACTTTCTGAATCATGTCGACCATGTTTAAGCGCTTGTTTAGCCCATTTACTAGTATTTTTGTGTTTTAGAGTCATACGCTCTTTCGCTCGAGCAGTTTCTAATCTCATTCGTTCTTCTTGAGCCAAATTTTGATCAGATTCAGTTAATTGATCAAGTTTTAATTTTTCCTTTTCTTTCTCTTTCTTTTTAATTTTACGATAAGTTTTACTTTTTATCTTTGCGATTCTTTTAGCTTTAATCTCTTCACGAAACATTAATTCACGTATACGACGAAGTTCTCTACGTCGAGCAGCAACTTCATCAACAGAGAATTTATTTAATTGAATATCTTCATATTTTTGAATATCCTTTTCTTTCATCCCACTTTTTAATAATATAGAATCAACTTCTTTCTCAAGTGCTGTTGAGGGCTTGTAAAAACGAAAATATATTACATTAGATAAAAAAAAGCCACTTTTTTTTTTTTAAAAAAAAAAATTAAATATATTTATACCTCGAATGTGCCAGTCAAAACACCAATTGTTGATGTATGTTCAGGAATTTTATTCATTGGGAATTTTAAATGATCGGACTCACGATTCTGCCGAACAATTGGTTCCCATTTACTAATATCTTTATTAGTTTCTTCATAAGCAACTTTTCTATTCAATTTATTCTGAATATTTTGGGGCAAAGGGGCTGGTAAAGGTACTTTATAAGTTCCTTTATTACCGCCACTTTCAAGTGAAGCTAATTTTTGTTTTAACCCGCTAAATCCTGCCTCTTCTTGTATTGTGCTTATTAGATCGTGGAAATTAACTTTTTTTTTGCCAGTTGAAGATTCTCTAGTTGTTAAATTATATTCAGATTCTTCATAAGCTTCTGTACGTTCTTTGATCTGCTTTTTATGTTTTTCTATAGGATTTTCATTTTCGACTCGTTTTCTTTTTTTGTCCAATGAAGAAATGAAAGAAATTAAATTTTCTGCTTGGGCATCATCATTAGAGACGACATCATCTTCGGAGACGATATCATCTTCGGAAACGATATCATCTTCAGAGACGATATCATCATCAGAGACGATATCATCATTGGTTTTCTGCATTTCACAGAATGTGTCAAAAAAAAAAGAACGAAATCCTCGCAGAAAGTAGCGGGAAAGTTATGAACTAACGATAATCAATAATTTGGATCTACCCGTGATAATTAACCAATCAGCTTAAATAATTTTTAAAAAATCCATCACTTTAAACAGAAAGAATTGAATGGTATCACAGGTATCAGGTATTTTATTATATATATATGGTTAAACAATTATTTTATACTATCGCAAATGCAAATATGAAATAGAATTAGTGAAATTAAGAAATACGTAGAATAAATTTTTGAATAAATTAGGAATTAAAAAATAAGCTTCCTTTTCTAATCTTATAAAACTCGCTTATACTTTCCTATATATATATTTAAAAAGTTAAACCTACTGTATTAATCGAAATGAGACATATGTTTCAAACCCGAATTAAAGTAGTAATATTATAATTCAGAATGACCAAATAGAACCATCGGATTTTCTTATTTTTTATTCTGTTATATTGCTAGTGCTATTTTAGACCGTTGGCTCTGATCTCAAACATCATCTTTTTCTAGGGAGGTGAAGGAGACGGCTATAAATATAAAAAATTCATTAAATAAAAGCTTTTATCTCCAAATAGTCTCAGACGTGGTCGCTTAATTTATACTCTATTCACATCGTCCACGTCGAGAATTTCGGAATCATCGGAAATTTCACTTCAGTCAGGGAATATAGTAAATTTGAAGATCGGTTCTAGAACGCATCTAGAATGATCTTCAAAAATTCCCTGCACTATGATTGGATAATGATAATTACTACTACTGCTAACTAATTCTG